TCTGCCCTGTTTGTTCTGTGTCTGTCCCCAAGAGAGGAGTGTGGGCTGGCAGGTGCCCTACGTAGAGCCTGGAGGCAGCATCCAGGCGTGGCTGGCCCACTCTGGGGCCCCTGCCGACTGCCCTCAGCCAAGCTGGGTCTCCTTCTTCCTGCCCAGCTGAGGCAGGGCCTGGAAGGGCTCAGTGGCAGGCCCTCTGTGATGTTCCTGTTGCCATGGTGATCCTGGATGAGAAGGCCGTAAGAACCTCTGGAACCTCCACCCCCCTGCCCAGTTCTGCCCTGTCTGCCCCCGGAGATGGCTCTCTGCTGGGGAGCTCAAGAGCACCTGCTCTGCTGCAGTCAAAGTCTCTTCCGTGCATCCCCCATCCCTGGGACGTCCCTTCGACCTCAACAGAGACCACTATCCTAACAGGTAAGGCTCCACCTCTTGGAAACTGACCTCCACTGGCAAGGTGATGGTGGGTAGTAGAAAGGGCAGAGGATTCAAAATGGAAGACCCATATTCCAGAACCAACCGAACTGTGTGACCTTGGACAAGGCAGGCCTTGAGCTTCAGCATCCTCCTCTGTAAAAGGTGGATAATAATGACATATTGAATCGTTCCTCAGTAATGCCTTGTGACTTTTCCTGGGCTGTTCCCCTAATATGTAATGCCCTTCCATCCTTCTCGGTTGAGATGAATTCCAACTCGTGCTTCAAGACCCAGTTCAAATGCTCCCTTCTCTGTAAAAGTTTCCTTGAACTCTGTATATTTGGCACAGATATTCAGCCTTGCTGTTCTGTTAGAGTTAGTTGTCTCCTTGGTTTTTACTTGCGTATAAATTCTTTTTTAAATTTATTTTTCAATTGCAATCGGCATATAATATTATATTATATTAGTTTCAGGTATATAACATGGTGCTTAGACATTTATATAACTTACAAAGTGATCACCCTGATAAGTCTAGTTCGACACCATACATAGTTATTACAATATTATTGACCATATTCTCTATGCTGTACTTTACATCCCTTTGACGATTTTTATAACTGGATATTTGTACTCCTTAACCCTGTTCACTTTTTCCACCCATTTCCCCAACTCCTCCCATTTGGCGACTATCAATTTGTTCTCTGTATCTATTAGTTTGTATTGTTTATTCGTTTCGGTATTTTAGATTCCACATGTAAGTGAAATCATATGGTGTTTGTCTTTCTCTGACTTATTTCTTTAGCATAATAACCTCTAGGTCCATCCACGTTGTTGCGAATGGGAAGATTTCATTCTTTTTTATGGCTGAGTAATATTCCATTGTGTATATATACCACATCTTCTTTATCCATTTGTCTATCAGTAGACATTTAGGTTGCTTCCATATCTTGGCTACTGTAAACAGTATATCTTTTTGAATTAGTGTTCTAGATTTCTTCAGATAAACGGACTATAAATTCTTGGAGGCAGGAATCAGGCTAGTCTCAGTTCTGGTATGAGACATGGTTTGTTAAATGACTGCTTTGCAGAATGGAAAGCAGAAGAGGCCAACTCTGACTGGGTGGGGCCCCATCTTAGCAGGGGTCAATCTTGGGGCCCTTTGTCCAAGCATGGCATGGGTCAGTCAGTGCTTGTTGTGACCTGTGTGTCCGAGCTGCGCCTAGCTTCCTGGGGACATTTTCATGGCAGAGACCCAATGGGAGAGACCACAACTTACGCCTGGGGGTGTGCCTGACCTAGTGCTGGGGTGTTGTCAGGAGCAGCTCATGAGGTGTCTTTGGGGATGTCCTGGGGCATCTGGGAAGGGAAGGGGTACTGGGACGGCTCTATCAGTTTGTCCTGGTGGGACTTTGGGGATATCTTGAAAGAACTTGCAGTTCAGGAGAAAGGGAGGGAGGAGGACTCCAGTGTCTCCCAACTCCCTCTCACGGCTCTATAGCCATGGTCAGGGTCAAGGAGATGAAAGAGCCACCAGTGCCCCGCCCAGAGGCCACGCAGACTCTGACCAGAGGACCAGTCTTCCAGGGCCAGATAGAGCCGCCTAGTCAAGAGCGCCCTCCAGTGGCCACCGCAGGGGTGGCAAGAACCTGACCCTGCAAAGGATGGTGTTTTCATTTATTCCTAGACGAACACAGAGTGAGCATCCACGTGCCAGGCGTGGTGCCAGGCACATGTTTCAATTTTAATTAAAATATATATTTGTTAATCATCTGTTAAATGGAAAGCTCTCGAGAGAGAGAGAGTGCGTTGATATGTGTTGCTGGGGGAATAGGAAATACAGGGTAGGGACATCTTCCCTTACAGCTGTGGTTCTCAACCCAGACTGTCTATTAGACTCACTTGAGGAACTTGAAAAAATGCCAATGACTGGACCCCAACCAGACCAATTGACTCTGGAGGGGAGGGGCAGAGGCACCAGGGTTTGCAGACGGTCCCCAGGAAAAGTTAACAGGCAGCCAGACGTGAGAACCACTGCTTTGGAGAGTTGACTAAAACGCTTCCCATCCAGCATTCTCACCCAGCTGCCGAGGTAGGTGTTATTGTCCCATTTCGCAGATGAGGAGACTGAGGCTCAAGAGGGCCCTTTTCCACAGTTCGGTTAAGGACAGCGATGGGAAAGATGTTTCCCGCAGCACGGGAGGCAGGGAAGCAGCCAATACTCCTCCAGGGTTATCCCTGATCTCTGAAGAGGCTCCGTCATCATCATTTGCTGGGCTTAGAAAAATACTGACGGTCGTGAAATAATCATATGTTTTTTTCTAGACATTGAATCATAGAGGCAAAAATGGTGTGCATCAAAGTCACCTTCAGTCTTAGCATTGTGAACACAGGTGTAAAAGAGAGAGAGAGACAGAGAGACAGAGACAGAGAGAGACAGAGGCAGAGACAGGCAGAGAAGGAGGGGGCATGGATTTACTTTAAGGCTCGAGGTCAGATTGTAAATCAGAGCTTCTGAAAGTGCTGTCCAAACACCAGCGGCACCGAAAGCCCGCAGTGCTCATTAGAAGTGCAGCGTCTCCTAGGGCGCAGAATCAGACTCTGAAGAAAAACCCTGAGAAGCTGCACAGTTAACAAACATTCCCAGCCGGGCCTCCACCACTTCGAGCTTTCCCTTCACGTAAGAGGAGCATGTCCTAGACACACATCACTTAGGAGGGCCCTTGCGTATGGACTGATGTATTAGAATATACAGAGCTGGCCGCTGAGATATTAACCAGCTGTCCTTGGGGACCTGGGTACATACTCCATTTTGCATGTGTTAGCATGAACGCCAGAGCTGCTGTGTCATCCCGCAGCAGGCCCGGCCCACACACAGCAGCCCCCTTCTCCTTCCCCGGCTCAGAACCAACCTACTAACTGGGTCCCACCAGCCAGTCACAGCCCGAATAACCTATGATGTCACCAGCAGCCAATCCGAGCTCCTCAGCAGTATATGCAGAATTCTGTCACTCTTACAGATACGGACACTGGGGCTTAGAGAAGAGCAGAGGCCCACCCAGAGTCACCACACACAGCTGGCAGAGCCAAGACTGCTGACTGTGGCTCACAGTGCCTGGACAGAGGGCCCCCGCTCCGTGTAGAGCTCCTAAGAGATGAGACCCCGTGTCCCTCCCTGTAAGACCTCAGAGGTTAGAAACAGATCCCTCAATCTCCGGATGTTAAGGCCCAGAGACCGTGACAGGATTGGCAGGGCCCATGGTGGAGGCGGGTTGCCCGAAATTTCAGCCCTGCTCTTATTCCCGCATCTTCTCCCCACCCCCGGAAGGAATTAGGGGGTCCTCGCAGACCGTGCCAGCTACAGCTTACAGGCAGATTATGAGGAGGGGCCAACACAAGCGCTCCTTTGTGGAGGTGCTGGCTTAAGGAGTCAAGTGACCGCTTAGCACATGTGGGCAGTGCCAGCCCCTAAGTGTGGACAGGGGCATTGGCCACAGGACCCCAGGGAGTCCCACCAGTCCAGTGGCCAGACCTTTTGTGGGATCGTCCGACCAGCCTGGAGCCCCACCTGTGAGTAGGGGTTGCTCAGGCGAGCTGGGCTGGGTCTTTGAGGGCCTTTGGGGTGGATAACTATCCCTGTATACATGTGTGTGATGTACACACACAGGCAACGCGTGTGCAGGTGTGTGGGCACCTGTGTGTCTGTGCAAAGGCCCTGAGGTGAGAATGAGCTTGCTGTGCATCCAGGACAGAGAGACAGCCAGTGTGGCTGCATCGGAGCAATTGGGAAAGGGTGGCTGCTGATCGAGCACCTCCTTCGAGAACAGGAGCCTCCATTCTAGGAAGGAGTAGACAGTAAACAAGCAGATAGCCTGCAAAAATATAATTTCAGCGTGATTAGTACCATGTAGAAAAATGGAGCAAGGTGAGGGGACATTTCTGTGGGTGGCAGGGGGATGCTATTTCCAGGTAGGGTGGCTGGGGACATTTTTTTGAGGAGATGACCTGAAGTGGGAATGAGCCATACAGTTAGAGCAGGAAGAGCATCCCCAGCAGGTGGAAAGGTCCTGGGGCCATCATTCACTAAACATTATCTGAACGTCTCCGCCAGCCAGGCTCTGTTCTGGGCACTGAGGACAGGGCGATGGACAAGACTGACCGAGTTCCTTAATAATTCTTGCTCTGGGTGGTTGAGGGAGCTTGGGGAGCTTATATAAACAAGATGGATTCGGAACAAAGGACTGAGCTCAGTGTATGAGCTGTTGTCATTGTCCTTGTCATACAATTTAGGGACGTAGACCTGTCTTCCCTGCCAAGGCTGTGGGCAGCCTCTGGGCTCACCTCCTCCCTCCCACAGGCAGTCAGAGCCGGGAGAGTCTTAGAGGCCACCTCGTCCCCATCCCGGTATCCCGGCGTCCTGACGGAAGAGCTGAGGCCCAGAGCAGGGATGGGTTCTGGTTGAGGTCAGAGATCATACATGAGCCTCAGACACGCTCTGACCAAGATACCTGCTCTCTCCCAGGCCTCCATTAGTTTCCCTCTCTGTCTGTCCACCAGGACCCAGCCCACTTGCCGCAGCCCAGTTCCTGGCCATGACTGTGACCTACTCAAACCAAGTGGCTAATGCCCGCTTAGGCTCCTTCTCCCGCCTGCTGCTGTGCTGGCGAGGCAGCATCTACAAGCTGCTCTATGGCGAGTTCCTCATCTTCCTGCTCAGCTACTACACCATCCGCTTCATTTATAGGTACAGGTGGAGGGGCAGGACGGGGCCTGGGAGGGGTGCAGAGGGGGCTTGGAGCTTCTAGGGAGCCTCTCAGCCATCCAGGGGGCCCATGCACTAGAGACTTACGAGGCTCAGCTGAGTTTGTGGCCCAGCCTTGGGGACTAGGGGCTGGGGAGAGAAAAGGAGGCAGATTGGGAGGCAGTGTCTGACACCCCTTCCTCCAGCCCAGGCTGGGGCTTGGAACCCAGGCCTTACCTGGTCCCATTCAGCCAGCCTGTTTGCCTGAATCCCACACAGGCTCACAGGCCCAGACCATATCTTTTTTTCCCTCCAATAAAAATGATTATTCAAACAAAAAAATACATAGGACAGATATAATCACAGAATATATGAGGGCATTTTAAGTGGAAAAAGCATTCGTGACTGCATGGATTAAAACAAATACATAAAATCCTTGAGTTCATAGTGATGACACTAATTGCAAGGCACATTGGTTTACTTTGGTTGTTACTAGGGCACCAACGTACTTTAAAAGGTTAGATTTTATTGTTTAGAGTTGCTTTAAGTTCACAGTAGAATTGAATGGAAGGTACAGAGTTCCCATCTACCCCTCCACACACACACACACACACACACACACACACACACCCCCTCCTCACTACCCACATCTCGCAGAACAGTGCTACGCTTGTCATAACAGATAAACTCACATGGACACACTGTTATTACCCAGAGTCCATTCTACAGTTTACATTAGGGTTCACCCTTGGCGTTGTACATTCTATGGGTGTGGACAAATGTATGACTTGGACCACCATTACACTGTTGTCCAGAATAGTCTTACTGCGCTGTCTTAAAAACCCTCTGCACTCGGCCTATTCACCCCTCCCTACCATACATTTTTAAAAGACCAAACGCTCTTTAGTTCAACCTGCTTTAAAAAAAAAAAAGTCTTCTAGATTCTCTAAAAGGGTCAGTGGTGCCTAACACTGACTCCTTCAGCAAGACCTTCCTTCCTACATCTCAGGATAAACCTCCTCATCACCACCCCAGCCATGGAGCTCCGATGGGGTTTGGGGCTACCTGAGGACTGGACCCTGGCTCAGGCCCGAGGAGGGGCCCTAGCGGGCCAGCGAAAAGGTCGGGAGGCTGTGGGGCCGCACACAGGCAGCCACACTCCTACCCGGGGCCTGGCCGGACCGGACCAGGGACCAGTCTCAGTCATGCTCTCCCAATGTTTACACATCTCCACCCCCGCCCCCTTCCCCAGGATGGCCCTCACGGAGGAACAGCAGGTGATGTTTGAGAAGCTGACTCTCTACTGCGATAGCTACATCCAACTCATCCCCATCTCCTTCGTCCTGGGTGAGCTCCCTCTGCCGGGTGTCGAGGTCCTGGTGGCTGCTCCAGGCCTGCTTCAGACAGGCGACCACGAGGAGCTGGAGGGGGAAGGGCAGTGTCATGTCATCGCCCCTTGGTAGTTCATGGAAATGGGGAGACCGCAGCCAAGGGGGAAGGAATATTAGGAAGGAATTTTGCTGTGAGCACTCAAGATCTGACTTTCAGAGGGCAGCGCCGGCATCCCTGGAGCCTCTGCGCGGGAGGGAGGGAGTCTGGCGGATTTCTGGGATGGGCAGTGGGGAGGCCCAGGAGAGATAACCCGAGGCTGGCTGCCTCCGCGCGGGGCTCTGGGGGTCTTCCCCTCCCGAGTGCCTTCCAGGAAGGTTGGGGCGAGGCCGGCTCCCATTAGAAAGACGGAGAAACGGAGGCGTCGCTCTCGCTGGGCTCTGGCCGCAGCCTAGGCCCTCGCCCCTCGCCCTCCACCCCTCCTGCCCAGGCTTCTACGTGACGCTGGTGGTGACCCGCTGGTGGAGCCAGTACGAGAACGTGCCGTGGCCCGACCGCCTCATGAACTTGGTGTCGAGCTCCGTCGAGGGCAAGGACGAGCAAGGCCGGATGCTGCGGCGCACGCTCATCCGCTACGCCAACCTGGGCAGCGTGCTCATCCTGCGCAGCGTCAGCGCCGCGGTCTACAAGCGCTTTCCCAGTTCGCAGCACCTAGTGAAAGCAGGTGGGCGGGGCCGGAGCCGCGGATGGGTGGAGCCAGGGGGCCCTGGGCTGAGGATTGGATGGGACTGGGAGCAGACTGGGCTGGAGATGGAAGCCGAATGGGCGGGGTGGAGTTAGGTCCCTGAAAGTGGGGCCTGGTCCGGAAGCTCCCCTAGGAGATGATGGGGATTTGAGGTAGGGATAAGGACCCTTGAGGGATAAGGGATGCGGAGGTAGGGGACGGGGGACTGGAGAGGAGAGATGCTTTGGGAGGCGGTGCGGAACGAGGATCTACCTCCCTCTGCCACCCCTCTTCCTGTTCTCCAGCTTCCAGTCCGAACATCTGTGACCTCGGTCTCAGGCCTTTCCTGACCGGGTCCTGGTTAATAAGACAGACCCCTCTCACGTGCTCAGCCCAGAACAGCACATAGCAGGCACTCAGTAATTATTCGTTGAAAGAAAAAGGATGACAAAGGAGCTCCAAAGTCCCCACAAGCTCAGCAGGGACTTGGGCCTGAACCCTGGGCGCCCTCTGGGCCCGGCATCTGCCAGCCACCCCTTCTACAGGTTCCCCGACCCACTGCTGCTTCGCTCCCATCCGCAGGCTTCATGACCCCCGCGGAGCACAAGCACTTAGAAAAATTGAGCTTGCCACACAACACATTCTGGATGCCCTGGGTGTGGTTTGCCAACCTGTCAATGAAGGCCTGGATTGGAGGTCGCATCCGAGACCCTGTTGCTCCAGAGC